AAAGAAAATATTTGTGAGTATAATAATTTATTTTTAAATTGTAATTTATTTTGTTATAATTGTCGCTTTATAGTTTTAAGGTTATGTCAAAAGGAGTCGAACCCCCTTAATTTTTTGTTAAATAATAATTAGTGAAAATAAAAATTCGGACAGTTGAAAATTCTCTGTAATGAAAATTCTGATTTTTGAAAATTCAATAAGGTAGACATTTTATTGAATAAGTATTCTGCTATAAATAGAAATTTTTTTAAATAAAGATTATTTTTTTCAAAAATTTCATTCCAGTCGTGTCATTCAGTGGTCACGTGTTAATAATTATTATTAACAGTATTAATAATAACGAAATATAAAAAATAAAATAAATAAATTTAATAATAAAAAAAAAATAAAAGAATTCTAATCAAGAAATAATTAAAAAAGAAGAAATTCAATAATTTGAAAAATATTAATAAAACAAAACTTCAATAGAATACTCAAAAATTTTTCTAATTTCAATGTCTGTAATTTTCATGCGTCCCACTTTTTCACAAATAGCAATGGCAAAAATCGAAGACCGCAAATTTAATTTCTTGTTGATTTCATGTCTGTGTAATAAACATTTCCAAATTTCAATTATAGTTCATTGAATAAGACTGGGAAAAAATTTTTTTTATTGAAAAAGTTTTATCTCGAAAACTTTGCTTCTTCGTCTATACTAAACATTATTGACGACCCTCTTATATATAAAGTTTTGACATTGCTCAACTTGCCATACTTTTCAACAAGACCCGCTAGACTAGAGTTTTAAACTAATTTTGCAATTACCGAACGGAAAATTTATGAAGTTCTTAAAAGAACTTTTGTTCACTTTTGTGACATTGTATTTTAACTTATATCAGGGTCAATATTTCAGTGACACTTTCTGAAAGTATAGACTGTGAAGTAGATTTTAAATTATTGAAAATGAAATTGTAAAAAGATATCGTTTCACTGATAAAACAAGAAAAAGATATTTGAATTTACTACCGTCTATTCTTTTTTGAATAAAAAAAAATTTCACAATCTCATCACCTGAGAAAGTAGTAGGGTAAATGCACTAGTAGTCGGACACTTAAGGATACAATCTTAAATTATGGTTTTTTTCTTGAAATAGCAAATATCTTCTGTGTTTATAAGCACATTATTAATTAAAGGAGTTCTTCAGGATTAAAAATCATATAAATTTGTTACAAATAGTTGAGTATTTAATAAAATATAAACATTTTAATAAAAAATTACAAATGCTTTAGTAGTCGGACACTTTTTCCCCTTGTTTCTATAGTCGGACATCTGTCAGATATTTAGAATTTATAAAGTAAAAAAGATAATTTTTTAATTGCTATCTGCTGGAAAATGGAATTAAAGCATATTAGAAGTTATTAATATAATATTTAAACCCTATAAGTTTTAATATTTATGATTAATTATCAACAAAACTTTGTGCCACTCATCGCGCTACTCGAAAATGGTTGTATTTATAGTCGGACACCATGATTTTTAAAACATTAAATAAAATATTTCTTGTTTAATTATTTTCGAAAATAACACTATTTTAATAAAATATAAACTTCACACATTCGTCTAGTATACTTTTTAAAGTAATTATCACAATGCATTACTATTTATTTGACAAAAAACACGAAAGTGTCCGACTACTAGTACTGTCCGACTATACCCGCACTTACCCTATATTTTAAACAAAACAATTTTCTAAATATACCTGATAATTCAAAAACTGGGGGTGACAATTTTTTCTCATACCGATTTTTTAAATTAAAAAAATGAAAGATTAATAAGTTCGGGAAAAATTTAACAAATATGAAAGTTTAATTTTTTTTTAATTTGATAAAATTTAGTTTTTAAATTAATTTTTTTACAAGAGAAACGTTTGATAAAAATTATGAATCTTGTTTTCGTTTCACGTCAAATTTTTTACAAAGTGGGGTATATTTTTCTAGTTTGAAAAGAAATTTCATTTCAAACAAAATGTTTCACTTTTATATTCTCTTTGAATTTGAAAAATGTCGATATTTTTTCATCTATTTGCAATTCTGTGTATTTTTGTTATAAAACATAAATTTTTTTCTTATTTCAAAAGGACTTGAATACTGAAAGGAAATTTATTTGAATTAAATTTATAATCGATTATTTAAGAAGATATTGGATAGTAAGAATCAAAAGTTAGTGCAACATTATTATTTAATGAAGAGTCAATTTATATAATTAAAACTCCTTTTGAAAATAGAAAGAAAATTAGAATTTTCACTTATTCGACATCGGTGTAATTCACGTTTATGATCAACGATTGAAAAAAAATACTTTTCTTGACGAAAACAATAGATTTTTCTTCTTCAAATTATTGATCACAAAATTATGCATAAATATTGTATAAAAGTACGTAAACATTTTTTCTTCTGAATCGTTGATTATAAACCTTGTGAACTTCGCCGACCTTTTAATCAAGGGAATTTTCAATGCTTTTCAAAAATTAAAAAATTCTGTTTTGAATGTCAATCAATTAAAATATTTTATTATTACACTTGCATTTTTTTAATAATTTAGAGAAAAAGTTATAAAAATTATACAATGAAAGTTGCACGATTGTTTAAAAAAGATTTAGGCATAATGAAAAATTTTGCAATATACCTACTGGCATTAAAATTTTTTTATTTATATTATAATTATTTATTTGTTTATATACAAGTTATACGGGCTTTTAAAAAATTAGAAATTATAGAAAAAAATTGTAAATGTCATTAAATCAAATTCTTTTTCTTAAATTTTTTTAAAAATAATTTATAGCAAAAAATTGTACAATAAAAATTATACTATTAAAAATAATTTAATTTAATGACATTACACATTTTTTTAATAATAATTATTAAATAATATAGAAAATATTTTTAATGTCACTGAGTAAATATTTTTTGTTTTTTCATTTCGCTTACTTTTATTCATAATTATAAGTTAAAGTTTAGTCAGAAAAAAATTGTCACCCCTGTTCAAAATTAATAAATTTTAGCAGGGCTCGAACTAGGTCCGTAAATCTCGTAAAAGTCAGTAAAAGTCCATTTTTTTAAAAAACGGTCCGTAAAGTCCGTAATTTGATTGAAAAAGGACCTTAAAATCCGTAAATTGTACGATATAATTTGGATCATTTTAGAGAAAAATTACAAATGATGTAGGAATTCAATTATTTTCAAAAGTAATAAAATTCTTGGTAAAAATTCAATTATGTTCAAAAATTTTTTTAAATTCTCGTCAAAATTTCAATTATCTTTAAAAATAATTAAATTCTTCTCCGAAATTCAATTATTTTCAAAAATTTTAATAAAATTCTTAACGAAATTTCAATTATTTTCAAAAACATTCCTCATTTCAATGATTTTTAATAGGTATTTACTATTCTAATCAAATTTTCCAAAAGAATTCAATTAATTAAAAAAAAATTTAAGAAAATTCTACACAAACCTTTAATTATTTTCAAAAAATAATAAAAATTTCACAGGAATTTCATTATTTACAAATTTTTTAAATAATTTTTTCGCAATCATTCAATTATTTTCATAAATAATAAAACTCATTGCAGAATTTCAATTATTTTTAATACAATTTTAATTGAATTCATCGAAAAAATGTAATTATTCTTAAAAATTTTATTAAAATTCGTCAAATGAATTCAATTACCTATTTAAAAATTTATTGATACAATTCTTTATGAGAATTAAATTTTAAGAAACATGCATTAATTCAATAAGTTGTTTTTTTGTATTAAAATAATTGAATTCTGGTTGAATTTTCTAATAAAAATTAATTTAAAAGTGTATTTCAGTTAAAATTTTAGATTATAATTGAATATTAAAAGCATTAGAGCATACATTTTTAGAAATAATTGAATTTTGAAAAGGTTTCAGTTTAAAATCTTTGAAAATTTGAATTTTTCATATTTTTAACTAACAATTCTGTGGAATTAATTTTTTTTTTTTTTTTGAAAAAGTTTAATTGCGGATTTTTTTTATATTATTTGAATTTACGAATAATTGAATATTGTAAACAAATGTATTTGAAAATTGTCAAAGAACTTTTTCGAAAATTATTTTAAAAAATCAATTTTAAGAAGAATTTTAGTTAAAAATTCTTGAAAATAATAATTCTATGACTGTGTTATTTTTAATTATAATAAAACGTAGAAATCGATCACTCCGAGTCGAAGACTCGGAGTTATCGATATCTTCATGTTTTATAGTTAGGAAAAATTTAATTTATAGTTTTAAGTAAAATGTTCTCTTATTTGACTCTGACTGGTTATATTTTTGTCAGCAATGTCCGTAATGTCCGTATTTTTAAATACTTCCACTGGTTCGAGCCCTGATTTTAATAGTCGAATTCTGACAGACAGTTTTATAAAAAATTGTGTCTAATCCCAAATTTTCATATTTTTAAATCAAAAAGTAATTTTGTAATTAATAAGAATTTCAAGGTAAACTATGAACATTTTTTCTTTTTAAAGAAAAATGTGTTGCAATTGAATGAAGTTTATATAAATTTCGGAGATTAAAAAATGAATTCACTGGTAAAGTAAAATAATAAAATTGCAGTAAAAAAAATTGTATAGAATTTTTTGTTTTTTTGATTGATAGATTGAAAAATAGAATGATTCTGCACAAAATCTAGTGAAGATTCTATTCAATTTCAATAGAATAATTCAATAAAATTTCGCTCATAAACATAAAAATTCTATAGAATTTTTGTTATTATATGGTTCCACACTTTCTTTGAAATATCTTTTAAATTATAAATTATTTTTTGAGTAAAATAAAAAAAAAAGATTTAATATTTTTTTAGTGTCAGATTTCTTCTTAAAATTTTCCTCTTGATTTACTTTTGTTTTTGATTATATTGGGTTTTAGACTTTTAGTATTGAGAAAACTTTTGCCCTTTTAAATTGCTCATAAAATAAAGTGTGGTTTAAATGAATACAGAATGTTACACGACCGAGTATCGGCAGTGTCTGAGCCCGAAGGGTCAGCTCTACTTGAAGGCCGACAATGATGGTAAGCCTGACCTAGCCTTTATTCATCACTTCCGCAGGACCCTATTTTTTTCTAACACTTTTATACACCAAAGTCCACTATTTTGCTTATCTTCACCAACAATATATGCTGCGACTATAACAAATAATATTATATATACATTAAGCCCTCTTTTCAAATAGCTCGATTTTAATTATTTATATTTAATATTTATAATAATTATTATTATTGTTATTTAACATAGAAAAATTGCCACTGCTTGCTTGCTTGCTTTTTGCCACAAAATTATTATAATTAAGAATTTCAATTTCACTGATTAATATAATTTTTTTTCTGAAAATAAATGTCCCCCTCTGTTATATAGTAATTCACGTGCAAAAACAAGTGTTAGAGTAGAAAAAAAAATGATTGCGAGAATATGTTGTACATTGTTCTTCTATTGATGAAAGAAGTTTTTCTTGGACGAAGAAATTATCTCAAGTGGATCACTGACAATGAATAATTCCTCCGTCTAGACGTATTGTCGCAATCTCTTTATAAATCAATTCCTTTCACTTTCTCTCTTGATGTCATTGATGTCACCACTTAAATATTATTGAAATCAATACAACTAAGAATTTGTTTCCTATAATTGGAGAGTTTTTTTTCCAAATCTTATATATTGTTGACTCTTCCTTTCACAATGTATTTTTTTAAAATCCTGTTTCTTATTTATCCTATTTTATGTATTTATGAAACTATTTTGAATTTTTAATGTTTAACAATTTTTTGAATTTGAAAATAAATCAAAAATAGTATAAGAGAATATATCTCTGGAACTTTTAAATTTTCATTACGAAAAAAATGAGAACAAAAACTAAAAAAAACAATTTTTCTCGGAGCAGAAAGAAAAATAATTATAGCGCAAAAATAAGACCTCAATTTTGCTTTTCCGAATCTTTATTTTATTGTCTCATAAACTATGCATAATCTTCATAAATAGACGAACTTCAAAGATTTTAATTTGAAATTTTAGAAAATATCAATTTTTAACGAATTTAAATAGAAATTTTAAGAACAACTGATTACAGAAATTCAATTATTGTCAAAAGTGATGAACTTCTTTGCATATATACAATTATGTTAAAAAATTTTTTAAAACTCTCGTCAAAATTTCAATTATCTTTAGAAATAATTAAATTCTTCTCCGAAATTCAATTATTTTCAAAAATTTTAATAAAATTCTTGGCAAAATTTCAATTATTCTCAAAAATTTTCCTCATTTCAATTATTTTTATTACCTACTATTTTAATAAAATTTTACAAAAGAATTCTATTATTTAAACAAAAGTTTAATAAAATTTTCACAGAAATTCAAATACATAACAATTTTCTATATATTTCTTCGCACCAATTCAATAATTTTTCATTTTTTAATGAAGTTTCTTCAAAGAATTCAAATATATACAGAGAATTGAAAAAAATAGTTTTGAGAAATTCAATTACTTCAAAGAATTTGAATAAAATTTTTTTAAAAATTATATTATTTAAAAAAATGTTGACAAAATTCTTTACAAGATTTAGTTAATAAACTTGCAAGTTTATTAAAATTTTCCTACACAATTCAATTATTTTCAATACAATTCTTCTTAAAATTCTTCTTAAGAATTCAATTATTTTCACAACTAATACATTTTTTTATGGGAATTCAATTATTTAAAAAAGAATTTTTTTGAATTCTCTATCAGATTTCAAATTGGTCGTAGAATAAAATTATTTTTGTAAAATATAACATTCTTCATAGGAATACAATTATTGTAAAAAATGTTTGTAATAATCTTCGGAAGAATTCAATTATTTTCGTAAAAGATGAAATTCTTCAAAGCAATTCAATTATTTAAGAAATTTTAATAAAATTCTTCCCAAGAATTCAATTCATTTAATTCTTTTCAAAAATAAACATTTTCTTTGTCAGATTACAATTATTTTCAATTTTTTAATGAAATTTCTCGATGGCATTTAATTATTATAAAAAGTTTGAAAAAATTCTGAGAAACTCAATTATTTAAAAAAATTTGAATAAAAATTCTTCACAAGGAATTAATTATTTTCATGAATAATAATATTTTTCTCCGGAATTTAATTATTTTCACAAATTATATTCTTCACAGGAATTCAATTCTTTAAAAAATTGTTTAATAAAATTCGTTGCAAGAGTTCAATTATTTTCATAAATAACAAAACTTGTTGCAAAATTTAAATTATTTTTTATACAATTTTAAATATAATGATAGAAAATTGCATTTATTCTTAAATTTTTTTTTAAATTCACCGAAAGAATTCAAATATTTAAAAAAACTTTGATAAAATTCTTCATAAAAAATTAAAAATTCAATTTTAAGAAATATTCAATTATTGAATAAATTATTTATTTTTGTGTGTAAATAATTGAATTCTCGAAAAATTTCATAATAAAAATTTATTAAAAAATGAATTTCAGGTAAAATTTTATATAATAATTGAATATTAGAAGAGTTTGTGTGAATTTTCAGAAATAATTGAATTTTGAATAGGGTTCAAATTAAAATCTTTGAAAATTTGAATTCATTGTTACAATATTCTTAGGAAATAAAATAATGATTTTATCACTATCACCTGTAATGGGTACTTTATTGACTTGCGAGCTGTTAGTAAATGGGGCAATAATTGTCACTTTATTTACCGTTGGGCTATAAGAAGGAACTTGGTAAGATCCTGTACACAGGTAAAGTGACCATAATACACGTCTGAGTTGCATAAAAAATATCTTTTCGTAAAAATAAAAATTCTGTTTATTGGTTTATCGAAAACATGATAATTCTATATTAATTAATATTTTCATTAAAATGAACTATAATTAAATTCTTATTAGATAAAAAGAATTTCCTAAACTAAAGATTTAGAAAAGCAAAAAGTATTTGAAGTTCTCAAAATACATCAGAATGACAAAAAATTTATGAAGTTTCCAAAGATATTCCCATAAATGTCTAGGTTTTTGTATATAACTAAAGTGTTGAGTAGTTTAAAATATTTCTCTCCCTCAATAGTGTTACTCGATAGAATAGAAAAAATTTTTCGAATAATTTACCGCCGCGCGAAAAAAAGGTACTACGAACTTTATATAGATGTGATTCTTGAAAAGAGAGAGAGAGAGAGAGAGAGAGAGAGAGAGAAGTGCATAGTCATTCAGTATTCAATTCTTGACTGGTTCATGAGGTTACACGTGGTGAATCGAAATAGACTTGGGTGGGCGAAAAGCAGGTTTATGAGTCGACTAGAAAGGGCAATGTATTATGTACCAGACATGTTGCTAAGTGAACTCTCGACTATTCAGTTCGCGAAGAAATTCCATGCATGTCGATTATAAACTAGTTGCAAGTTTTAGGCTCAACCATCAAATGCAGGAAATTAGTTTACGATAATATGATGGTTCAATTATATATATACCTAGTTTGTTTGGGGGTACAATTTACTAAACTTTGCCCTAATTAATAATTTTTTGTTCTTTTATATCCTTTCACTCATATTTTATTGATGGAGGATGGATAAAACATTTTCGATTTGTTAGGAAATCTCTATAATCTTGAAATTACTTTTTCCCATTATTGTTAGATATTCATTCAGGGAAAAATATATTTCTCTTAAATGATCTAAAGAATTGGTAGTTTTCTACTAATTCTAACTTTTTTCTACTACTACTAATTATTTTTAATCTACTAATTTTTTTAACCTATTTTTTAAACCTATTTTTTATTTTTATTTTTACTACTACTACTACTACTACTACTACTACTACTACTACTACTACTACTACTACTACTACTACTACTACTACTACTACTACTACTACTACTACTACTACTACTACTACTACTACTACTACTACAAATTTAGTAAAATTCTTACTATTGAGTTGGTGAACGAATTTGCATTCTTTAATTAGTAGAAAACTATACTAATTCAGATTTAAAGAATGCTAAAAAAGCATTCTTTTTATGGCACTAGATTATTTTTAAATGCAAATAGGATTTACATTTTATTACAAATGAACCAAATAAATTTTATTTGAAAATTTAATTAGTTAGAATTTAAAAATTTTATTTGATCCAAACAACTTTGTTTTCGTTACCAATTTTATTTGAAATAAATGAATTTGTTAGTATAATCTCTGCGACAAATATTTTTTTATTTAAATCTATTTTTTTAATTGAGCAAAAGATTTTTTGAAGAAAATACAGTACCGTCCGCAATTGTCAGTCCACCCATTTCTAAAGGAATGACAAAAATTTTTTAACATAAAATTCATGAAAACTAAAATTTTTTTTGGTTTATATTTTGAAAGACGATAAAATTTTGAAAAGAATAAGACCTTACAGAAGTCATTTGGCCAAAATTTGTAGAAGATATTCCTAAAAATCGTCATTTTCAATGTTTTACAAAAATTTAAATAACTTCTAAAATAATGAACGCTTTTTAATAATCTTAGGCTTATTTTAAAGGTCTTTTTCTACGGAATAAGAATTACTTATAGGCATTAACCTGTCATTTTTAACTTGGAATAAGCATGACGTCAAAATTAGACAAAAAAATTGGAAAAATTTGAAATCAATTTTTTGTACTAAAAACTATTCTAGAACATATATAAAACATGATATGGTGTAGATTTTTCAAGAAATTTTAATAAAAATATATGTTTGAATTTCAAAAATTATTTTTCTTTTAATAATATTATTTCAAATTTTTTGAATTTTTTTGTCCAACTTTGACGTCATGCTTATTCCAAGTTAAAAATTACAGGTTAATGCCTATAAGTAATTCTTATTCCGTAGAAAATGACCTTTAAAATAAGCCTAAGATTATTAAAAAGCGTTCATTATTTTAGAAGTTATTCAAATTTTTGTAAAACATTGAAAATGACGATTTTTAAGAATATCTTCTACAAATTTTGGCCAAATGACTTCTGTAAGGTCTTATTCTTTTCAAAATTTTATCGTCTTTCAAAA